GTGATCCTGATTCCCTCGCTATGCGTCCCTGTCCTCTTCTGTTGTGTGTCTCACAATCTCTCGGTGCTTCGCTGTGACAGTTAACAGAGGTCACTGTTTACTCTCATTTTTCAGTCAATCACCGGCAGCTGCAGGGTTCCAAACAGCTTTTTTTCCATCCTGCTTTTACCATTACTGTTTCCAGAAGGATGTCAATGAAAATGACATTTAATTATGGGGTGTTGATTTATTATACTTTGTATGACGTGTTATGTCCGTTTAATATAATTCCTGTCGTTTTCAGGGAAACATGTGATGACTGACATAATATTACAACGTTATTAGGAATGACAGTGTGTACATTGTGTTATTTATTTTATTATAAAATGATTCTGTCGGTGGAATAAGGTAATGGATCCTGAAGATAGTATTTTGTACAGGGAGAATTGTTACTACTAAAGTGACACTTATATATTATTTGAGTCTGATACAAATCTGATGGAGATCCCTACTCAACCAGAACATAAGTCTTGAATGCTCTCTTTGTGTGACCCTTTTAAGATGTGGATTACACATTTTTTTCTAAAGCTTTGTCTTTATCTTTGCTCTCTATTATCAAAATAACACCCACAGGATCAAATTTGGATTCACTTAAGCAAAGGTAATTCAAGTGCCCCTTCACACTGATTTACAAAAAAAAAACATTGGATGCCCGTAATTAGCATTTTTATGAATAAATAATAGTTTAATAAGAGCTATTGTTGAAAAAAAACATCTTTTTAGAATAGTTTTATCAGAATAAAGGTAGAATTTCCATACCAAAGTGGAGAATAAGGTCTGCGTGTTCTCAGTGCTGTGTGGCCCAGTAGGTGTTGTTAGGGAACAGTCTACTCTGTGAGAATGATTAATTCATCGGTTTGCTGTCTTTAAAAATGAAGGTACATACCTCTACCGCGACAACATAACTCACAGTCGAAGGAATTTCTCTTAAAATAAAAAAGCTTTCTGTTTTACTATATAACTGACTAGGTTATGTGTATTTGCGGTGGTTTTGCAGAAATCTAGGGAATGCTTCCAATGATACAAAACAACAAGAAAATGCACACCCTGTTCACCATGTTCATTCACTATGGCAGCAGGCCTAAATGCAATGAACATCTTGAGGGGCAAAGGGATGACTTTAACTGATCAAGTTGGCGCTGTCGCAGCAGAAAGCAAAGTAGAAAACCTAAGGCAATGGATAGCTAATGTTTTCAACTCATCAATCGAAAGGATTAAACCCAGACGTTCTTCTCAATATTTTGTCTGAGGCCCTTTTGACAAATATCCTTCATTTGTTTACATGTAAGTAACATTTGTTGTGTTTGCTACGGCCGTTGTTTTTTACATTTTTATTGTGTGTTGTATTTTTGCTCAGTGCCCTGTAAGCATGGTCCTGAGCTAGTTAGATAATAGATCTGAAGAAATGTTTGTTGATTTGATGCATAATTGGACATCTGGATGTCAAAACTACATTACATTCTCAGCTTAATTACAAAATGTAGTTATTTTTTCAATTACAATTTCCAGATTTTTGTTTGGTGACTCCCCTCTGGGAATAAGTCAAGCACCCCAGAGGGCACCCTTTAAAAAACAGCTACTTACCTATTCCAGATCCACCGTGGAGTCCTCATTATCCTGCCAATGATGTTATCATAAAACACAGAAAGTTTTTTATGTGTCCCTTCTCTGTTTATATGACGCCTGCCGGAATATCATAATCTAATCACGACTCCAATAAGGCTGTGTCTCAATCTAACTAGATCATGGCCTCTGCATCGCTCATCTGCTCTTCTCGTTTTTTGCTGAGGTTTCCATGGTGTACACACACACGCACACGCACACGCACACGCACACGCACACGCACACGCACACGCACACACACACACACACACACACACACACACACACACACACACACACACACACACACACACACACACACACACACACCTGCACATGTACAAACAGGCTAAGAGCCATGTCCTTTTTTTGGCTCAGAGCCGAACATTGGCCCTCCCTTCCATTTCTGCTCTCCGCCGCTCATCCCAGCAACACCTCCTCCTCACACTCCTCCACCCCTACCTCCACTCTATCCTCTTCCATCCCCTCATCTCAGGGATGCTACCATAAAAATAAGTTACATTTTATGGC